CTGGAATATCTTCTGATCATCTGCTTTAAGGTTTATTGTTCTAAAATAATAAGTAATAATGTTTGATTTTATGTTTTCACAAAGCTGTAATGTACAATTGATGTGTACTATTAATCAAACTGAGATTTTTTTAGGTAGCTTTACTATAACTAGATTAGAATAAAAAAAAAAAATAGGTAAACTGAAGTGCAGAAATAATTTCAAGAAGAAAATGAAAGAATAAATTGACTGAGTACTGCTGAAGATATCCAGTTTGTATTTATGGATCACAACAAGTTTTATCCGAAGTTTCATGTTTACAGTTGAACCCTGGCCTTCATTGTCTCACAATAAGAAACAACTATTGAAACAAGCAGCATTAAAGAGTAAACGCAGCAGTGTAATTCCTTTTGGTCAGCAGCAGTGGGCGCTGTTCCAGTGAGAAGAAGCTTTTGAGGCTTCTGCTAATCCTCTTAGCTACTTCCTTAAGTCCTGTGCCTTCTCAGATCACACACTCCATACACCTCAGTTGTAGTGCAAACTCAACATGTACAAAATGTGCAGTGCTCAGTCAGACGAAGAGAGTGAAGATGACAAGAATTCCCTTTCCTCCTCATTTTGGTCTGATGGAGATGAGGAGAAAGAAGAAGAAGAGGATGAGATTGAGCGAATGATTGACTCTAAACCAGCCACCGATGCAGAAGATTTACTTCAGGGGGCTTCAGAGGAGGTAAAGGGTGGGTTGAACAACCAGAGCAACTTCAGCAAGGAAAGTTTGGATAAGACAAGTAACAATGAGGAGGAGGAAGAAGAAAGGTGTAGTAGCAGTCCAGATAGTCTCGCACCAAGTCTGATGACCTCTGGCTACGGGACCTACAAACCAGAGGGGCAGGAGGGAGCAGAGTACAGAGATGACCACACCATAACAGAGTTTGATCAGGATAGTCGGGGGGATCTGTCTGAGATGAGAGAGGACGAAGAGGACAGTCGGTCACTCAGCAGCTTTGGCGACTTTATTGAACCTACACATAAGCCAGACTTCAATGAAGTGTCTGTGTTAGAGGTCAGCAAGAATTTTGATAATGTGGCGTGCTGTAGAGAAATCATCCACATCACAGAAGTGCATTCGGAACAGAAGAAAAAGCAGGCAGGTGAGGAGGAGTGCGATCTACATGCGGCATCTGAAAAGAAAGCACCAAAAGAACAGCATCGCACTGTTCAGGCTGAAGACATGTTCCTGCTGGACGAGAAGCAAAAACAAGAAATAGAGGTGCACGACCTTCATGGGTTCAATGATGTCAAGAAAGACGTCGGAGGAAACGTGGAGTGTGAAGATCCAGACGAGTCTTCGAGCAACAAAGACATCAAGTTTATTGACTCCAGAGTGAACATTAGCTCGGCCATGATGTATGGCAACATGTGTGCAGAGTGGGACGGAAACCTCAGACAGGACAGGGGTAAATGTTTTCCAGCTTCTAAATCAGCAC